ATGAGATATATGCACGTATGTTTTATTGTTTACTGAACATCTAGTTGTAAAAGAATATGTGTATTGTATGTAAACGCCATTAGTAAAAAAAAGATACAGTAGTAAATGGCAACTAACCCGTGTAACTACAAAATTCAAATCCCATAAAAAAAAAAAAAAAAAAAAAAAAAAAAAAAAAAAGTAGTAACTTAATGACAACTAACCCGTGGAAGTACAAAATTCAAATTCCGAGACAAAACAAAAGTTCCAGAGAAAATAGAAGAAAGACTAGGTTTAAGCTATGTCAGTTCAGACATCTTATTTTTGTGAATTCGTGTCTATTTTTGTTTTCAGTCATGTGTTTTGATGACTAATGTTCCTTTTTTCTCTTTTTTCAGTTCGAACTTGGACGAGGTAAGTCTGTTTACAGAATGATGGAGAAAACTGAGTAGAAGGAGAGAGGAGAGAGAGAGAGAGAGAGAGAGAGGAGAGAGAGAGAGAGAGAGAGAGAGAGAGAGAGAGAGGAGAGAGAGAGAGAGAGAGAGAGAGAGAGAGAGAGAGAGAGAGAGGAGAGAGAGGGATAGGAGGAGGAAGAAGGAAAGTGAGAGGAAATGTGCATGGACATGTAATAAGATATAGATAGACGAGTAGATAACAGAAAGACACGCAGAAAAATCAAAGGGGAAGACACAGCAGAAATACACACACACACGCACGCACATGTATACGAATGGGGAGGGACAGATAAACACAGAAAGATAGAGAAGTAATGTGATAGAGCTACTTTTAAGACACTGAAAATAACGAGATGCCGAGATGCTCAGAGGAATACGGATCCTTTCAACTGCAGATGATGGCTGTGCACTGGTCGACTGTCGTGCGGGAAGAGAGTGTGTCATAACCAACGGTGCCCCTAACTGTCAATGCCAAGCCTCATGCCCAGACCACTTTGCCCCAGTTTGTGGCACGGATGACAACTCTTATGATAACCACTGCTTGCTGCACCGTCATGCTTGTCTTACAGTAAGTGAAACGAATTAGGTCTCTCATTTTTCTCCAATTTAGAATTTCCTCTCGTCTTTTTTCGTAACGAAGTCGGCAATAGTTCAGATTTATTTTTTTTTATTTTTTTTTTGAGGTGGGTGATAAGTGTATATCCAGTGACTAATATACTTTTTATTTTAAGGAATCGCCCATTGGCATCTTCCACAAGGGATTCTGCAAGAAAGCTAAGCAGGTGAAGCCAAAGAAGAAGGAAGTTAATGACGATGAACCAGGTGAACGGCTTACCTCGTAACTTGGCAATAGGAATATTTTCTTAATTTGAGAGAGAAGAGAGGAGGGAGGCAGGGAGGAGAGAGAGAGGAGGAGGAGAGGAGAGAGAGGAGAGAGAGAGAGGAGAGAGGAGAGAGAGAAGGAGAGAGAGAGAGGTAGAGAGAGAGGGAGAGAGAGAGAGAGAGAGAGAGAGGAGAGAGAGAGAGGTAGAGGAGAGAGAGAAGAGAGAGAAGAGAGAGAGGTAGAGAGAGAGGAGAGAGAGAGAGAGAGAGAGGAAGAGAGAGAGAGAGAGAGAGAGAGAGAGGAAGAGAGGAGAGGGAGAGAGAGAGAGAGGGGAGGGAGGGAGAGGAGAGGAGACGAGGGAGAGGGAGAGGGAGAGAGAGAGAGAGAGAGAGAGAGAGAGAGAGAGAGAGAGAGAGAGAGAGAGAGAGAGAGAGAGAGAGAGAGAGAGAGAGAGAGAGAGAGAGAGAGAGAGAGTAGGAGAGAGAGAGAAAGAGTAGGAGAGAGAGAGGAAAGAGAGCAGAGACAGAGACAGAGACAAAGACAGAGAAAGAGAAAGGCAGAGACAGAGACAGAGACAGAGACAGAGAAAGAGAGAGCCATAGACCATCGACACCAACGAAAAAAATATCTTTCCAGACGTCTGCTACAGCGCCCAACGCGACGCCTTCCTGGTGGTGGTCAACCGTCACTGGCAGGAGACCTTAGATTCCCAGCCGTGGCACGTCGCTGGCATGACCTTCCGGGAGAGCCTGTGGGGTCGCTTCTACAGCTGTGACCGAGACAGGGACAACTATCTGGGCACGGATGAGCTGCTGAACTGCACGTCGTCTGCGCCTTTTAGGGCTCGGCCTGAACAAGACCAGGAGCTCACCAGGTATGTATTTGTTGTGCTGGAAGCTTCTCTTGTATAAGGCAGAGGGGTAGGAAGTGGGGGGATGGGGGGAAGGTAGCCCCCCCACTCTAAAATGGAGGGGACGGGATCCAACTTCTGCCCCCGCTACTCCTCAACTTTCGAAGATATTCTCCCTAAATCAACAAACAGTGCAGTTCCATATTTACTTAATTGTTGCGAACACTGAGCCCCTGCAACTGACAGGGCAGCTACAACGGAGTCTGGTGTTCAAACTTAAATAACGATGACATGTATTAACTAAATAAAACCGTCTGACTTCTTAGTACAGAAATTAATTAGTTTGTCTCTTTTAATCTTCTAAAATCTGGAAGCTTCCGTGTGGTGTGGGGGGGGGGCTATGTAAGGAGAAAATGTTTTTTCGTTGATGAAAGAATAGAAAAATCTATTGTATGAATAATTTCGGTTACATTGCAACTTTTTTTATTGTTTGCGAAAGATTATGATTAGAACATGTTATATTGTGTAATTATACTAAGCGGAGTTCATTTTATATCAAATATGCAAATTAGTATCGTTTTCCTTTAATGGGAATTTCACAACAATGGCGGGAGTACTGAACTAGATCTGCGGTTGTTTGACGGCATTTAAAGTCTTTCGCTATTCCAATTCATTCATTGTAGTCCGAATATATTTATTAATGTTTATTTTATTTATTCATCTATTGATTTATAAAATTGTCCAGGGCATTCGGCACCCTGAACATAATTTTCAATTAGATTAATTACCTTAATACTGCGGCCGGATACGAATAATCTGAAGTGCTAAAATATACTCAATAATTATATTAAGATACCAAGCTAACAAATCAAAACTCAAATACTTACGTGGAACAAAAATTGGAGAGGTCCAAGCCAGAGCTCAATTCTGTCGTGTTCAGCAAAAATATCCCACTTTCATGACGATTTTCACTTAAACCTCATTATTAAAGTTCTTACTTGAAATGGAACACAGTGACTACGAAGAACATCTTATACATAATATTTCTCACACATTTTAAGGCATAACGAATCAACCACCAGGAGCATATGCCGCTGTCAAAGAAAACGGGAATTTTTCAGGCCATCCTAAAGTAAATTTACCTAATCGTCGTCTGTATAAGTATAACCTTTTTATTTTCTTTCAGAGCTTTGTGTGTGGATGCCCTCATTGATGCAGCTGATGTAAACCGTGATTGGCGTTTGGACTTTGAGGAATTCACCACCATGCTTTCTCCAGGCTATCGTCCTCCTCAAAAGCGTGAGTTTATTAACAAGAAAATGGGAAAAAATCTGTTTGAAAAAAAAAAAAAAATACTGGAACACTGATCAAGATAACAGCATGGCATGTTGTTTTTTCTTCTTCTAAAAATAATATAATGTGATTTTATTTATGTGTAAACTCTTTATGATTTTCAACAGAATGTTCACTGGAAGGCAGTAAATATTACGATGGAGAAGATGTACATGTCGATGGCAACCACTGGTAAGTTATGCGTATGAAAATAGTATATATGTACATGTGATATATCAGCATAGCCAAGTAATTTGTCAAATTTCAGAGAAAGCTGATCTGATTATTATTATTATTTTTATTTATTATTTTTATGATAATTATTATATTATTATTATTATTATTTTATTATTATTATTATTATTATTATTATATATATATTATTATTATTATTATTATTATTATTATTATTATTATTATTATTATCAATATTATTATTAATATTGTTATTAATTATCATTATATTATTATTATTATTAATTATTATTATTATATTATTATTATTATTATTATTATTATTATTATTATATTATTATTATTATTATTATTATTTATTATTATTATTTATTATTATTATTATTATATATAATTATTATATTATTATTATTATTATTATTATATTATTATATTATTATATTATATTATTAATATTATATATATTATATTATTATATTATTTATTATATTATTATTATTATTATTATTATATTATATTATTATTATATTATTATTATATTATTATTATTATATTATTATTATATTTATCATCAATATTATTACTATATATTATTATTAATTATTATTATTATTATTATTATTATTATTATTATTATTATTATTAATTATTATTAACGATTATTATATTATTATTATTTATTATTATTATTATTATTATTATTATTATTATTATTATTATTATTATTATTATTATTATTATTATTATTACTAACCATCATTATCCTTATTCGCAGCGTATGTGCAGTGGGCAGCTGGGTTTGCACATCGACCCAGCCCTCCAAAGATTCTGAAAAGGAATTCGGTGTCCAGGAATTCGACAACTATGACGACGACGACGACGAATATGACTACGACGATGACGATGATGACTTAGATGATCCGCTTGACGACGACTATAACGACCTGTTCGACGACGAGGATGACGAGGATGACGATTATCTCATCAACGACAAGGAGGAGGAGGAGTATATTGATCAGCTGTTCGAGGAGATGCTGGAGAAGCTGAGGAAGCACAGGAAGGAGAGTCACCACCACAACCGCTTGTAAAAAGAAAGAGAAAAGAAGATAGATAGAGAGAGAGAGAGAAGAGGGGATTTTTTTTTCTTTTTTTAGTTTTTTTACATTTTTTGGTAAGTTTGTGACGTGGAAATGTAACTCTTTGAATATACAGTGTATGTAGGATATAATGTTTTTATTTGGTATTACAAGAAAGCTTAGGAAATCTTTTAATAGATTTGTCTTGTGGCTTGCGTATGTGAATTTATTAGTAAATCTTGAATGATAATCTACGGTATATCTTTAATATGAATTTATTTACAGTTAAGTGAAATATGCATTTTATAATTAAAATTAGAGATCTATTGTTTGTGAAATAAGTTGATGACTAAACTACATTTTTTACTGTTGCGTATGTGCATGTAATTCTATATGATATCAAATGAGCTTCCACTTAATTAAAAACACAACCATTTCATTGCATCTAACAATGATAAAACTTTTATAATATACACCAAAAAGGAAAAAAAAAAAACAAAACTATTCAAATCCCGTCTGTTGTGCCAAATGATCTGTTCTAAATGGATGTGAAAAATTGAGAAAAATATAGTTTTTTTTCCGGAATGCATTGCAGATCTTACGGAAAGTTTTATTTTGTGTGTGTAACCTCTAATTTGGTTCACTAATGATTTCAGAGAAGCTAAATTTAGTATTGTATACCCTTTTTCCTAATTTCTAACTGGTAATGATTATTATATACATTATTTATCCCAAATTTTCAAAAACTAAAAAAAAAAAAGTTTATATTTTATATGAATAAATTTTTATTACATGGATATTACCTGTCTTACAATTCCCACATTTTTTTCATTACAAATATTTTCCGAATGCAGAGCATCAAAGAGTATTTTCAGAAAGTTATAATATTTAGATTTTAATACGTTTTATATTTAAATCGACAAAAAATATATTTTCCGGTGAAAATATAAACAAACACAAGATACAAGAGAGGATTGATAGGTTTTAAAAGCAGTAGAATATATTTGTATGAGCAGGCAGATATTTTCATAGATTAAAACGCCAGTGTTGAAAGATTTATTTTACTAGTTCAACGGTGAACCTTATAACTGATAACTGCTTTTTCCAATAAAGAATTATAACAAAATGTATTTACTTTAGTGTATGAATCCAAAAGAAAAATAACGATATATGTGGATACTCTTGCCGTTAGAGTACAAAACAGAATTTATATTGTTTTCTCGAGTATACTAGTGGCATGAAGTGTGTGTGTGTGTGTGTGTGTGTGTGTGTGTGTGTGTGTGTGTGTGTGTGTGTGTGTGTGTGTGTGTGTGTGTGTGTGTGTGTGTGTGTGTGTGTGTGATTATGGGCAAATACAGTTGAACACGTTGTATATCATTGCTATCATTGGCAAAATCTAGCCTTTAAACAACCAATGTATTTATATAATGGTTTCTACAAAGATTCACCACTCTTGCAGAAAAATAGTGCGTTATTGTTCAGAATTAATAACTGAAAATCTTGCTGAAAATGACCTGAAATGTTCTGAGTACTGAAAAAGATGAGACATTGGGAATATGAAGCTGAAATATTAGCGGGAACGTTGAGGCTTAAATACTATTGGAATGGTAGAGAATTTTCAATGACCATATAAAACACACCAAGAAGAGGACACCATCCAGGAAAATAGGTCAACATTTCAACAGATAAATACATAATTGAAGATTTATGTATGATATAAATCCGGCAAAAACACAGACCTCTACTCGTATCTACCATGAAAAAAAAAAAAAAAAAAAAAAAAAAAAAAAAAAAAAAAAAAAAAAAAAAAAAAAAAAATTTGGAATAGACTTTTTTGTAAATTTGAATTACTGTCTGCGTAATACCTAGAATTTCGTTATATTGTTCATTAACTGGATAATTCCTAACACAAAGCCTAAAGCAAATCAATCAACTCAACTTGACGTACAAACAATTGATAACCAAGCCACAAAGTCTAATTGTCCGTTGAGTTGAATGGTCAGACAAAAATATTTTACTTTCAAGACACGTTTTAGAGAAGCATGCAAATATCTGATATAGCCCAGATTTGAGATAAGAGGACAATCACAATCCCAAGCTTAAAATAAAGAGAAAAATACACACACACACACACACACACACACACACACACACACACACACACACACACACACACACACACACACACACACACACACACACACACACACACACACACACACACACACACACACACAACACCACACACACACAACACACACACACACACACACACAGCAAACACATTGAACAATACGGAATACGTAAATTTATGTGAATTTTGTTATTTATTTGTCTACATAGGTGAATCTTTATTTTTTCTGGAGAGATTGTGAGAGAGAGAGAGAGAGAGAGAGAGAGAGAGAGAGAGAGAGAGAGAGAGAGAGAGAGAGAGAGAGAGAGAGAGGAGAGAGAGAGAGGAGAGGAGAGAGAGAGAGAGGAGAGAGAGAGAGAGAGAGAGAGAGAGAGAGAGAGAGAGAGAGAGGAGAGAGAGAGAGAGAGAGAGAGAGAGAGAAGAGAGAAGAGAGAGAGAGAGAGAGAGAGAGAGAGAGAGAGAGAGAGAGAGAGAGAGAGAGAGAGAGAGAGAGAGAGAGTGAGAGAGCGAGAGCGAGAGTGTGAAGCGAGTGAATTATATTTCATGGCGCCATGCTGTCTGCCGGCATCAGATGAACACCACACTTCTATTTTGTTTCATGTCAAGATGTCGACTTCCTTGATAGATGTTTACTCATTCTCTTTCAAAATGATAGTGTGTATGGATATTTTCATCATGGCTATTATCAGATAATTTATGATGTCTTTATTTATCTTATTGGCATTTCATTATCATTGTTATTATTAACTGTTCTTACAATTATTACTATTATTGTATTCATCATCGTTACAATGATGAAGATTATAATGAAAGCAAAACAATAAGAAAATATTAATAAAACAAAAACAAAAATAAAAGCAAAGTAATAATAATAATAATATAATGATAATAAAAAATGAAATAATGATAATAATAATAACAATAAAAAAATAATAACAGTATTTATTAAAAATAATGATAATAATAACAATAAAATTAATGATAATAATAGTAATAACCATACTGACAATGATAATAGTAGTAGTAGTAATAGTGACAATATCTATCTGATAATTTGTTTACATATAAGTCCAATACTATACTCTACAAAGTTTCAACACTTGTTTATATACAGAATCAATGAATTTAGATTGCACTTCAAACTACATAAGAGGAATCATGTAGGATTTCAGAGACAAAAGGAATTAATCATCTATTCTTTACTACATGAGCTGCCCAAGAACTCGTATATGAACTATAAATAATTTAAAAATTTACCTGCAATCATTAGTCATGTTTGAGCTTTTTGTTTGATCTTTGCATCACTATATTTATAATTTGTTGAAAGTCGGTGACACATCATCGTCTGAATATTCTCTATTGAATTTGATCTATATTTAGCTGTTCAAGAACTTCCAATATGGAAACCATGATAATTCCTGCTCTCTTAAGGGGATTCTTTGCCATAACATAACAATGTTCTATCATCAAAAAGCAGCTTTGGTTCTAAGTGCAGTACCATTATACAAAAAGAAATAATGTAGGACGACTTGTGAATTCTACATGCAGTCATCATTAACACCCTCTTTAGTAAAACACAGAAAAATGGTGTTGGATTGCACTCCCAAAAATTCTGAACAAAATTCCACATTAGGAGAGAAATAGTACATTCCAGTTAGTACTTTCAATGCACTTTAAGATGATAGTTCTTGCTTTTCACAACTACAGGATAAATCTCTATTGAAAAAGAAACTCAAGTAAACAAGTACTATTTATTTAGCATTTCTTAGTAAGCTATTAAAAGTTTTTGTGACATTTTTTATTCTCTAATCTGGTAATAATAATAAAAAAGAAAATACACTTACAATTAATAACAATAATCATAAACATTTCTTTTGCAATGACAATATGAAGAGTCCTCAATATTCTGGACTGAACAAAGTCTCACAGCATTATCTATGATAAATTTACAATATACGGAAAAATTGTATAAAAACTGGAGAGATGAGAGATGAGTTAGAAGCTGAAAGATCTTAATGGTAAGTGAAACGAGAATATGAAGATGATATGATGATTGAATATAGATTACATTAGGTAGCTTTGAGTTAGTTATCAAAACAGTATAAGTACTGTTGTCATAGATATACAAAACAGTGAAATTTCCATAAAATTATAGGTCATAAGTAATTTCTCCATCTCTATGCTTTTCAAAAATCTAGGGGAAATTTTGTGTTTTGTATATTAACAAAAATAATTTATATCTCTTATACACTAAGTGCAATTATTAATCTTCTTATATAATATTAAAATACTTGTTATACTATATATATATATATATAATTTAATGTAACAAATCACAGCTGTCATAAAATCTAAAAAAGGTTTTAAAACTTAATAACAACATATTTATGATTTCCTCACAAACTCCCTCTTACCACCTGTCTTAAACATTAATTGGACATTTGAAATAGTGATGTCATGAGATACTGCCTTGCACATATCATATATGGTGAGAGCTGCAACAGTAGCTGCGGTAAGAGCTTCCATTTCTACTCCAGTGCGACCAGATGTAGTAGCTTTGGCATCTATTACAGTTCTGTAACACATTTCTTCCTCAAATTTCTCCTGCATATCAAATAAAATCTCAACGTGATCCAGAGGTAACGGATGACACAAGGGAATCAAATCTGACGTTTTCTTAGCAGCCATAATGCCAGCTATGCGAGCTACCCCTAGCACATCTCCTTTCTTCATCTTATTCTCCTTAACTAAATTGAATGCTATTGGTCCAAGATAAACTTCTGCTCTTGCTATAGCTTGACGTACACTTACATTTTTGGAACTTACGTCTACCATCTGTGCTTCTCCTTTTTTATCAACGTGGCTTAATTTCTCCTCCAGTTCCCTTCCACCTTCTGATATTTCTGGCTGCCGATAATTAGATTCGTCTCCATTTTCTTTGCTTTCTTTCTTATCTGTACTTACATCAGTTTTTGTGAACTCGTTCCAGAATTTTGCACTATGATCAATAAAAATTTCTGGTGCTTTAACAACATCCTCTGATATAACCTCTTGGGCAGGCTGTAGGTTATTATTACACAGGTCATCTACAGAACTGTGTTCCCAGTATTTCATGTGAGAAAAGTCATCTAGTGGATAGGTAGGATAGTGTTGCTGTTTTGAATTTTCTTCATTTTTAGAATTACAAGTATTTCTGATGGAGGTATGTAGCAGTCTTGATGATAACAAAGGACTTTTGTGCATAGACTGCAGAACACCTATTGGATAATATCCTTTATCTGGGAAAGAAAGGGAAAAAATATATCACAAAAAATAAATCTGCACATACATTGCACATTTAGGTTTATAATGAGAAGAGAGAGAAAAGAAAACAAAGAGTTGAAGGGGAATGAAGGAAGCAACATTCAGAAAGCAAATATATCATATATTATGTATTTTATACATTATCTCTCATACATCATATATTTATATATTATATATCTATATATCATATACTATATAACATATATAATATATTCATATATCATACATTTACATAGACACACACACACACACACACACACACACACACACACACACACACACACACACACACACACACACACACACACACACACACACACACACACACACACACACACACACACACACACACACACACACACACACACACACACACACACAACACACACACACACACACACACCAAAAAAAAAAAAAAAAAAAAGCATTGATCTTAATAATTTAAATACCACTGCATCATCCTTTAACTTGTCTTGATGTTTCCACATTATTCCACATAAATATCATAAAGGTAATATCAAGTGGTTTGTACATACTATACTGTGTGTGGCTCCCACGCGTCACCCACCAATTAAAATCATTGGACGATTTTTGAGTTTGGCCAGATTCTGCATACCTGTAAATTAATAAAGGAAAAAGAAAGTTTAATATATATAATCCAAAACATTAAACAACAATTACACTTGCAAATTGAAAAGTACAGTTTACATAATTCTATCATTAAGTAATACACACTACAATAATAATAATAAATATTATAGTAAGTAAAGTATTATAAAATTATTGATATCATATTATTATTTTCTAAAAAATATTTCAAAGAGAATACTGAGATCTGTTACTAACTTCTGACTGATTACAAATGAAATTATTTAAAGATCAAACAAAGAATACAGAAATAATTGTGCAATGTCTGTAGATCAACTGAAAAATTATTTATTGATAAAATTAATAATAAATAAACCTAAAGGAAGTCATAAGGAAAAGATAATTAGGCCTATGGTGTTTCTACGTAAAAAATGCAAGGCCTAACTATCCATATGACTTACTTTAGATATATTAATTATTGTACTTTATCAGCAAATAATTTTACAGCTTATCCGCACACATTCCCATTCTCCAGGAAAACCACCGTAATTCCATATAATAACAACTGTAATTATATATAATATCAAACATCAAAACTAGATAAGGAATAAAATGAATAAACAAAACCAGAGACCTACCCGCATGCTGCCTCTTCTTCCTGCCAACAGCTGCCCCAATAACTTCCAACAGCTCTTCATCGGTGCTTCCACCGCGCATCGAATCCCTAATAAATGAAATTACCTTGGATTAGAACACTACAAACATATTCAATACTGTAATATGTATATTCGCCCACAATGAAAGCTATTCCTCTCTTGCTACATGAAATCAAAAGAAAACTAAAATTCGTCTTAATAATTTTGTGGAAATTCAACATACCTGAGTGATACTTCTGAAGCACCAAACAGACACACTTTTAGGTTGCCATCTGCTGTAATGCGCAATCTGTTACATGTTCCGCAGAAATTTTCTGACATGGATGTAATGAAACCAATTTGCCCCACAAATCCTGGAACTTTATAGGCCTGAAGGAAAATGAAGAGAAAAGACATGATCTATTAATCTAGAAATCTGACACTGTGTAAATATTTACCATTATTAAATCTTTTTTATTAACTTTATGGAAATTTGAGTTGTATATGGAAAGAATGTTGACAGTATTCTGAACATCTTTAAACTTTAATCTTCTATATCTTACAATGCTAACAAATATAAAGAAACATGGCAGCTGGCGGCACACAAAGTCATACTATCATATAGACTGTAAGGTTCCATATACTTCATTTCACTACCATAATATATATCTTTGTAACAGGATCTTATTCTTCTGCATTTCTCTGGCACAAACACCATCAAATAAAAAAAAAAAGTCATTTTGAGCTGCCTTTAAAATTCTTCCTTATCTACATGAGAATGGAAAATATGAAGGAGAGTATAATACCTTTGATGTGTCATTAGCTTTATCATTTATCTTGACAAGATTCGGATGCACTTGTGCAATATTCTCCAGCATCTCGGTGTAACTAACCATCTTCTTGTCAACCCACCTGAAATGCGAAAAAAAAATATATTGTCTGAAGTTTCAAAAAATACTTCATCCTACAACTTCATTGTTATCTATAAGAAAACGTAACAATATACTGTTCTCTAAATTCACTATCCACAAATCTGTTATTAAAATAAGCTCTTATATTACGATGAACCGTATACATGTCGACAAATGTAGAAAAGATATGAATGAAAATGAATATCTACAAAATACAAGAGATGTATTTGACCGGTTTTGATTATGCCTTCCACAAAAATACATGTATTTCTGATGAAGACATAATCAAAACCGGTCAAATACATGTCTTGTATTGTGAAGGTATTCAGTCTCACTCATACCTTTTCTACTATACTCTTACATTACATTAAAATTTCAAGCTGATTTCTAAACCATATGTACAAAGTTAAAAATAGTTGCAATCTTCATGCTATAAGAGGCTTTACAATAATATGCATTATAATTTAAATAATGAAATTCCATTTCAGAATATATTAGCATACCTAAACATTCAATGATTACTGTTGTTGGCATTAACAATAACAAATGACAAGTAACATAACACATACTTGTTACCATCGAATGGCATGTATTCGATGAATCGGATGTCAATATCTTTATGTCTAGTGAGCTCCACAAAGTTTGTCAATTCTTCCTCATTTTTCCCTCGCATAATCACACAATTTACCTGTTCAAATTTAATTACATTAAAAACATTTTACTGTAATGACTTACTTTCAAGTGTTTGCACTCTGCATAACATATGCACTGCAAAATGTGGTCTATGAAAAACATCTTAAACATAAACAAACATAAACAATACTATTCTAATTTTCTGATAAGAAACAGTCTCTGTTAAGTTTGAATAATATCCATTACTCTACTAAGGGCATACATTAGCCTATTTGAATTTTGTAAACCCCTATTTCTAAGCTTTTTTTCTGCATTTTTTTTTTTTTTTTTTTTTTTTTTGTAAAAATATCCCTCTTGAATAAAATAAAAAGCTATCTGCCAAGATCAATCCCATTCAGATATGGCTGGAAAAAAAAACAAAAAAAACATAAATAACTAGATTAATGTACAAACAGCAAATGTTACTCTCACCTTAACAGGAGAAAACCCAAGATCAAGAGCCAGGTCAATGCCGTCCATGACTCTTTCCCAGCCACGGCGACGGGTGATCAGTTCGAACTTTTGTGGGATCAGGGTGTCCAATGAGACATTCAAGTGCGTCAGTCCGGCATTTTGTAGATCTGCTAATCTTCTTTTCAATAACAGACCATTAGTTGTAAGGCCAATCTGCTTTACTCCGAGCTCCGCTAAAGACTCTAAAAGGTGAAAATAATATATGGTACTGCTGTTGACATACACTTAGAAGTAATGTATTGTATTCAATTGACATATACTTGAAAATAATACTTGGTACTGGTTTTGACATATACTTAAAAAATAATATATGGTACTAGTATTGACATATACTTAATAAGGATATATGATACTAGTATTGACATAAAAATAATATATGGTACTGGTACTGAAATATACTATCCAAAAATTATTAGTAACAGTGAAGATTACTTGCTTCTAATTATCATACTTTACTGTAATCATTCCTGATAGAATCATTTACAATCCTACTAAGCCTGATATTTCAGTAACCATGACTCAAATTATCTTCATGTAGCAAAACATTTATAAAGCTGACAGCCCTTATCAAGAAAATACATTCCTTGGTAAACAGTACTAAGATTCAGTATTGGTAATCATACTGTGCACTATTCATTATTTTAGAAGAAATAAGGCATTGATACATCTTTAATATATGCAAAAATATGTTAAAAAGGGATATATCAAAGATGCTATTAGAAAGAGAAATAAATTTATAAACATCAAATTCTTAGTACTGCAGAACATTTCTTTTCCTTTTCTTTTCTTGAATATCACACAAATCACTCACCTACAATATACTCTAAATCTTTTCTGATCATAGGTTCTCCGCCTGTTAATCTCACTTTGTCTACTCCTTCAGACACAAACAATCTCGCAATTCTCAATATCTCTTCTGCTGATAAAAGTCTGTCTTTTGGAGTCAGACTTACTCCCTCTTCTGGCATACAATATTGACCTGTAAATGATAAAATTAATGTCTAAGAATAAAGGTAAAACTGATTCCAACCAAGGTCATATTACTGTTAAGTTAGAAGTCATTATAGCTACAAATCAAAAGTTTCTTCATCTAGCAAGCCATATAAGTATACTTACATCGGAGATTGCATTTCTCTGTGAGGGAAATCCTGAGGTAGGTGTGTTGTCGACCAAATGTGTCGGTTAAGAAAGCAGAGAAGGGAAGTGGTTCTGAATTCCTGAGAGCATCCAACCTTGACACCTGAAATATTAATACAAAATCTGATAGAAATTCATTCTGTGACTGAATAAAAAGTATATTTGAAAGAACAAAAGATCTATAAAATTCCTGAGAGATTCCAATTAGTACAAAACTTTATGAAAATTATGTGAAAGCTTATGACATAACTGAATAAAAAGAAATATTTGACAGGAGTAAAGAAGTTGAAAATTTCTGTGACATTTCAATCAATACAAAGATTTAAACAAATTCACAATGTAAACAAAATGAAACAAATATATTCATTCTTATCTAAGAAATGCTAACAGTACCTGTCTCTGAAATGAACAATAAGTGATATCATCTTTACTGTGAGTCAATGAAGTTTCTTATCTTACTGTACAGTGTTCACACATGTTGCTTTACCCTTGATAGGACTGAGCAACCTCTGATGTATTTATATAGAATGTTACTATCAATTAAGTATATAACTGGTCAGAATGAAATCAAATGATGACACACTTTAGCTTTAACACTGTGCTGTATCAAAGGTCCCACATGCACTGGACCAATATTATACATTTCCTTTATTGATGAGAAATTGATTGCTAGATAGGTTGAACATGCACTGGGACCAATGTTGAACCTTTCGTTTATTAATAAGATATTGATTGCAAGATAGGTTGAAAAACTCGTGCCTTGTCAGGATATAAGTGCAGAAATTTGTTTGCTTCTTTTGGAGGAATGTAAAGGAGTTAATGGCATCATTAGACCATAGTAAAAATTCAGACTTAACAATGCTTCCTGTACAATATTAATCATATCTAATACTTTTTTAACATGATCTTAACAGTCTTTATCATTTTTTTTCTGTCTCTGCATGGCCCTAAAATAATAATAAAAAAAAACTTTGATAATAACAACAATAAAAGAAACAACATAACAATAACAGTACCATTACATGATTATCATTATAATAATGATAATACATATTATCACTACTACTTCTATCATATTACCAAAACATCTACTACTGTTACTACTATTGCAATTAAAAAACAAAAAATAATAAGAATAACAGTTAACACTCCAGGTATCCACAACATTATTGATGATAATAATGATAATGATAATGATAATGATAATGATTATGATGATAATGATGATAATGATGATGATGACAGTGATGGTGATAATAATGATAATAGCAATGATAATATCAATAATAGTATCAATATTAATAAAATAACAAGGATAATATCAATAATAGTATCAATATTAAAAAAATAACAAGGATAATATCAATAATAGTATCAATATTAATAAAAATATTAATGATAATAATAATAATAGTAATGATGATAAAAATAAAAAATAATAATATAATAATAGTAATAATCATCAATTTTTATTATAACAATGATGATGATAATAATAGTAATTGTTGTTGCAGCAGTGGTTAAAATATAATAATAATAATAACAATAGTAATAATAATAACAACAACAATAATAATAATGATAACAATAATAATAACAATAATCATGATAATAATATCGTAATAACAAGAATAATAATAGTAATAAAAGTAGTAATCATGAAAATACTACTACTACTACTACTACTAATAATAATAATAACAAAAATAATACTAACAATAAGAATAACAATAATTGTGATAATAACAATAATGATAACAAAAAATAATGATAAAACAATTGCAAAAATAATAACAACAATGACAACAATATTATAAATAATAATTAAAGAAGAAGAAAGATAAAAAATAAGAGTAATAATAGTAATAAAAATAGTAATACTCACAGATCCATAACAAAAAGTCATAATAACAATATAATCAAAAACAATAACAAAAAAATAATAACAAAAACCACAGTAATGACGGCAATGATGATGATGAGAACTGCCTTTCTCATAACAGTAAAAAAGGATTTAAAAACTCTTATATGAACTATTTCTACCGCACATTTTCATGAAGCAGAACTAAATTATATAGCACAAACTCTAGTCTCAATAATTATCAACAATAAAAAATGTTACTTAATATTTCAGTTCAAAAAAATAAAAGCAACAAGTATTATAAGCTATATTATAATTTCCTCGTAATCATAATACATTCAACATCACAATAAAATTCATTATTACATTAAAATACAAGCACAAAATATAAGATTCACATTCTCAAAAAGTCCTTTACCGCAGCTGGCTGACTGTCCGTTTCTTTTCTTCATTGTATGAGTTCTTGCAAGTCATGCTGACATGGAAATCCTTTAAGTGCCTAACCCTCGTTTTAAACTGTCTGGGTCGTTAATATTCATGACCATATGTCTGTTCTGTGAGTCTAGATGTATCATTAAAAATAACGGGTTTCTTATCTCCATAATTTATATTCTTTTAAGATATAAAACATTAATTTAACGGAAGAGACTATTCTTGAAATTTCTCTACCGTTGAAAAATAATAGTACTTCAAGTATTTCTCTCTCACATATGGTTGATTTCTATGACTTTATCAATAAATATGGTGGTTCATCAGTGCTTGGAATATACCAATAAACCTATTAGAATTAAATCCATTTCAGGCATATAATAACTACACTTTTAGGCTCACATCCCATAACAAACGCCCCCAAATCACAACACCCATAAACGTATCTAAATCAATCCTGTTTCCACAAAAAATCACAATATCAAACAACTTTCAAGGTCTAAAAAAAACATGAACATCACGAAAGCAAATTCACCTGCGTAGTGGCCCTCCTAATGGCACTGTCAGGCCTTGTGTTAGCACTGAAACCTCTCTTTTTCATGCCATTTCGCCCGAGTCCCGTGGATGCCCTAGGAACCCTCGCGGC